TGTGTTTGGGCTGGATTGGTGGGATTCTGGCGCCACACGCACTCTAACCTCCTCTTCTTTCGCTTCATCGCTGCCAGCTCCTCGGTAAACCAAGAGGCTGGTTTAGCTCGGTTACTCGAGAGGGGGCGTTCCGGAGCGATAGTGTCAATTGCCCTGGTCAACTCATTATTCCAACGAGAGACCAGAGCATCGACAGTATCACTAGCCAAGGAGGTGGAAAGATCCCCAAGAGCCGTCAGGAGTCCATTTGGATCCATAAGTCTCCTGGGGCGGACCATTCTAATGGGTCCACCACCCCTGCGGAGGTTAGGAGGCCCAGTTAGTCTAAAACTGATCAGGTGGTGATCGGTCCATGGCAATGGGGCGATGGTCGGCTCCTCCATCCCGTCACCTTCATCCCATCCCTGGGCAAAAACCAAATCTAAAGTGTGCCCGGCACTATGGGTGGGACCAGATATTAATTGGGACAGGCCCATGGTTGCCATGGCGGCCATGAAGTCCTGAGCCGCACCAGAAAGAGGGGCCTCGGCATGGACGTTGAAATCTCCCAAGACCAAGAGCCGTTGGAAGCTCAACGCCATGTCCGAGACCACTCCCGCTAGCTCAGGTAGGGAGACTGTAGTGCAGCGGGGTGGTCGGTACACTAACAGAATCCCTATCCTGTCCCGGTCACCTATCCTAAAGCCGGCACATTCAAAGGAAGATGATTGTGGGATGGGACACCTGATCAGTGGAATAAAGTCCTTATAGACCACTGCGACTCCGCCTCCCCGCCCTCCAAGCCTTGGTTGGTGCTGAACGGAATAACCTGGTGGACAGAGTTGGGAGAGATTGACCCCTCCCCCCTCGTCCAACCAGGTCTCCGTTATACAAGCCAGGTCGGCTCGTTCTTCTTGGATTAGATCTTGAATGATAGAAAATTTTCCATTTACCGACCTGGCATTGAACAGCACCACCTTTAGCTTGGAGGGGCCTCTTGGATTAGATCTTGAATGATAGAAGATTTTCCATTTACCGACCTGGCATTGAACAGCACCACCTTTAGCTTGGAGGGGCCACCATCCTGGCACCTCAGTTGTATATTGTCAGGAGTGAGTTTTGGGGTTGTCAAATTATCATTATTAATTTCGGGCCGAATAGTAACATTAATTTTTGGAGTTGTCAATGTCCTATTTAGAATTTTGGGTCGAATTTGCTTTTGTCTTTGATTTCTAAGATCTTTGGAAGTTGCCAATTTGTTATTGAGAATTTTGGGCCGAAATGAATGTTTTATACTCCCTTTCCCGTTATAATAATATTTTTTATTTATATCCCACTTTTCTCCAAAGCAGCTTACAACATAATATAAAAGACAATACAAAACAATATGCATATGTAAAACAATAACCTATAAAACAAATTTACAATAAGAAATAAATAAACGCATTCAAAAACATCTGTCTAATAAAATTACTGCAGGCAACCCCACAAGACAGATGGTAAACATTAGCACGACTCAATAAAAGTTAGCCTTCCTGTCATTACAGCTGAGTGTCTTCATTAAAAGCTTGTGTAAACAGGAAGGTCTTTAGCTGCTTTTTAAAAGATGTCAGGGAAGGGTCTGTTTTAACCTCCTTGGGGAGGGGGTTCCAAATAGTTGGAGTGGCCACAGAGAAGGCCCTCTCTCATGTCTCCTCCAATCGCATTTGTGATGGTGGTGACAATGAGAGGAGGGCCTTGCTAGAAGATCTTAACATTCTGGCAGGTTAGTGTGAGGGGATGCAGTCAGATAGGTAAGTAGGACCTGAACCATTTATGGTTTTAAAGGTAAAAACCAGCACCTTGAATTGGACCCAGAAAGGAATTGGCAGCCAATGCAGGTGCTTTAGCAAGGGAGTAGTATGCTCCCTGAGTGCAGCACCTGGCTGCAAATCTCTGAACTAATTGAAGTCTTCGAAGAACCCCCAGTAACGCAATGGATTAAACCCTTGTGCCAGCAGGACTGAATACTGACAGGTTGTAGGTTTGATTCCGGGGAGAGCAAGGATGAGCTCCCCCTGTCAGTTCCAGCTTCCCATTCAGGGACATGAGAGAAGCCTCCCACAGGATGGTAAAACATCAAAATATCCGGGCATCTCCTGGGCAGCGTCCTTGCAGACAGCCAATTCTTTCACACCAGAAGCCGACTTGCAGTTCTCCAAGTCGCTCCTGACATGGAAAAAAGAGAGAGAGGTTTCCAGACACTCTTCAAGGGCAGCCCCACGTAGAGCCCTTTACAGTAGTCTAAATGGGATGTAACCTAGGCATGGACCACCATGGCCCAGTCTGGCTTCTCAATGTATGGTCACAGCTGACGCACAAGTTTTAATTGTGTGAAGGCCGTCCTGGCCACCGCTGACACCTGGGCCTCTAGGCTTAGCAATAAGTCCAGTAGAACTCCCAGACTGTGGACCTGTGTCTTCACGGGGAGTGTGACCCCATCCAGCCTAGGTTGTCACCTTATACCCTTATCTGCCTTCTGACTGACCAGGAGGACCTCCATCATAACTGAGAGACCACCACTGAAAAAAGATCTGCTCTCATGTTCACACATTTAATTGATCTAATTAACCACACAAGAGCAAGAAATCTGTAATAATGCCAGAGGTGCAAAATATATAGAATGGGAAATCTATAAAAAAGACTCATTTTTTAACTATTAGAAATTAACTTCAAATAATTTCTGGTTGTATGCTGGGATTAAGGACATATTTTCAGCAGGTGATCAGTGTTGGTACTGAAGGAAATTTATTCCTAGACCCACAAATGTTGTCTCTTCCTGCTCCAAGCACATAGATGGATTCAAAAGGGTGAGTCTAGTTCTTTTAGGTAATCTGTCACGGGTTATTTGAAGCTGCAAAGTTGGTACCAAACTATTGAAAATTAGCCTGAAAGGAAATTGATAACTGGCAGAAAAGAGATGTTACATGCTCAGGATTTCTGCTTGTCAAACATTCTGGTAGCCACTTTTTTAGCCACTGGAATTTTCAAGAAAACCTCAGATGCAGCACAATGTAAAGCACAATTCAATACTCTAGATCAGAAGTAAGGGACTGGGTTACAGCAGCAAGTTCTTACCATTTCAAAGAGGGTTGTAGCTGGCATGGTCTGCAGCTGCTTTAACCTCATCAAGAAGACCAAAATTTTCAAAAGGGGATAACTCCATAGAGGACTGGCCTGAACATCTGGTTTCCCAATTAAAAAAAATCATCTGGGTTTATGTAGATTAATGTTCAATTTACATTTCCTGTATATTCCCTCCCGTTTACAAATCTCAAGGGGAAAAGGCAGAATCATGTGTCATAAATGTACTGGTAATGATGAAATCCAAACCTCTAGATGTCAGTAGCTATTTCAAAGCTATTGAAGAGAATGGAAAATATAACTGAACTACAATATGCTCCATAAGTGAATGAGCATAGTGCAGAATTGAGTTAACCCAGCAGAACGTATTGTCACTAGCCAACCACATAGGACTATTGGCATCATAATATTGTGATTACTAAGTCAGCATTGCAGAAATATATGGTGATCAGTGGTGCCTAAAGCTCCAGAGCTATCCAGTTGGACTCCTATATTCCTAACACTCAATAAGTGGTAAATATCCTAAGTCATCCAGAGCAATGGTGGTTGCTAATCTCTCCAAATCTAAATGGAATTAAGTTTGAAAATGATTCAAAAGGATTCATTTATTTTAAGACTGTCTGCAGTTGAAGACCCACCACCTTTGCTAACCTTTGTTTTAAAGGAGGTGCATTTAAGTTAAAGAATAATGTGTAGACATAGTTATAGAGCAGCCTTTTTCTGTCTGTCTGGGCTTTTTTTGGTGTGGTGGAAGAGGACAATTATACCGTTTAGTTTTCTCAATTTCATATTTTCAAGTTGAGATTTGAGATGGATTTTATGGTACACATCAATGTATGTGATGCTTTATTTATTTTCCCTATTTCCTTTTTGAATAATTCTGTTGACAAGGTTTGAGTGACAGGGATTTACTTTTCCTAACCATTTTAAGTCTGCTGTCAATTTTTATGATTCAGCAGGGATTCCAACCTAAGATGTAACAGTTTCATTATCGTGATTTTTACCTCCCCCTAAATCTACTCTTTTTAGGGATTCATGAGACTATTCATTGTTGTAATTCCATAACTCATATGCCGTGATCTTTATTTTTGAATTTGAGACTTTATCTGTCCAGTTTCTCCACTATATGTTTTATAGCCCCTCACAGATGAAAGCATGTGTGCACTCAAAATTTGTAATACCCATATATAGGGTGTTTTTGGGATATATCTGTAGAAAAACAGAAAGTTCATGAGCATTTAGGTGGTTGCAGTTGTGACAGACTATAATTGTATAACAGGTAATTCATCCTGCATTTTCTGTTGGCATGACAAGCACTCCTGCTAATTCTGTAGTCATTTCAGTTCGCCTTAGGGTCAGCATAAATCGGAAATGATTTGAAGGCATAAGCAACAGCATCATCATCATCAACAACAATAACAACAACAGGAGCAACAAAAGAGTTCAGATTGCTGGTGTGATCCTCCTCAATGCCCTTTGGTGTTTGGTTTGGCAAGAGGTTGGGAGTCATGGAAGACATAGGATAAGGACGAGAATACATATCTGACTAAATGCAGTCTAGAATCCATCATAGATTCTACTTTGTACAGTCATGGTGGCAGTGTTGTTTTCTTTAAATTGACCAGCTGTCCAAATAATAATAATAATAATAATAATAATAATAATAATAACAACCCCCCCCCCTTTTGGTGCTTGTTAGTTCTAAATCCTTTGAAATAAAATTGTTCATGGCTGGAGAGCTCACAGCTTGATTAGGGCAAAACTTCCATTGTTTGGGAGCTCCTTGACACTCTGCATTTGATACAGGCATGCTCCAAATATTTGTGTTGCCACAATGTTTCCCAATTTGAATTATTTGTCTGATTGCATGACACTACCCTCTGTTCTTTCTCCTTCAGGTTCAACTGATCTCCCTTCTTATCACGCAGTGGGGCTTTCCAGTATCAAGAAACCTGGGTGGAGACTTCTCAGAACAGTGAGCTTATCGGTGTTTACATAAAATCTATTGCCTTTTCTGCTATAAAAATAACTATATTGCCTATAATGACCATAAATGCTGAGATCAAACTTTCCCTCTGATAAGAATAGAACATCTCCAGTAAAACCAGAAGACAGAAACTTTTGTAGTAACACATTTCCACTCTTAAAATCCCTCTGGTCTTTATGTATGTATATATGTATATTACAGCTTCCTTTCTTGCCAAAAATTAAGGAAAGTTGGCTAAGAACATTAACATCTAAGAAAATTCACATATAGAAGGGTTACAACACAATTTGAACCTGTCAGCTGAAAGAAAGAGCATCCAGCCTATTAAAAAGCCTTTAGCAGCAACCAGCCTTAAATACTGAAGAAATCTCTAAATAAATGATATTGTCTGTCTTAGATGAAGGCCTCGGTATCTACTGGCTATCATGCCTATGAAGTTCTTTATCCACTTTGTGTCTATGTGTGTTTTAAAGCAGCTATTTGAGGCACCGGACCTAGTCCCTGAATATGTTCAGTACCCTGGACAGCTCATTTACAATACAGATTAAAATCAGAAAGGAGAAGCTACTCCACTAATATGGAAGTCAATGGCTACTAGAGGTGTGCATTTTTCTCATTAGTCCTTGTAAGTCGTATCAAGTTCATTAAATTTATATTTACGAGGTGATATCCAACACGCAAGGAAGACTCCAGCAATACATGGAGCGAGAGTTGCCAGATGTTCAAGCTGGGTTTAGAAAAGGTAGAGGAACGAGAGACCAAATTGCCAATATCCGCTGGATAATGGAGAAAGGCAGGGAGTTTCAGAAAAACATCTATTTCTGTTTTATTGACTATTCTAAAGCCTTTGACTGTGTGGATCATAATAAATTGTGGCAAGTTCTTGGTGGGATGGGCATACCAAGCCACCTTGTCTCTCTCCTGAGGAATCTGTACAAGGACCAAGTAGCAACAGTCAGAACTGACCACGGAACAGGAGACTGGTTCAAGATTGGGAAAGGCGTACGGCAAGGCTGCATCCTCTCACCCAACCTTTTTAACTTGTATGCAGAACACATCATGCGGTGTGCGGGGCTTGATGAATGCAAGGCTGGGGTGAAAATTGCTGGAAGAAACATTAACAACCTCAGATATGCAGATGACACCACTCTGATGGCCGAAAGCGAGGAGGAGCTGAGGAGCCTTCTAATCAAGGTGAAAGAAGAAGCGCAAAAGCCGGGTTGCAGCTAAACATCAAAAAAACCAAGATTATGGCAACAAGAATGATTGACAACTGGAAAATAGAGGGAGAAAACCGTGGAGGCCGTGACAGACTTTGTATTTCTAGGTGCAAAGATTACTGCAGATGCAGACTGTAGCCAGGAAATCAGAAGACGCTTACTTCTTGGGAGGAGAGCAATGTCCAATCTCGAAAAAATAGTAAAGAGAGACATCAGGATGGCAACAAAGATCCGCCTAGTCAAAGCCATGGTATTCCCTGTAGTAACCTACGGATGTGAGAGCTGGACCTTAGGGAAGGCTGAGCGAAGGAAGATCGATGCTTTTGAGCTGTGGTGTTGGAGGAAAGTTCGGAGAGTGCCTTGGACTGCGAGAAGATCCAACCAGTCCATCCTCCAGGAAATAAAGCCCGACTGCTCACTGGAGGGAAAGATACTAGAGACAAAGTTGAAGTACTTTGGCCACATCATGAGGAGACAGGAAAGCATAGAGAAGACAATTATGCTGGGGAAAGTGGAAGGCAAAAGGAAGAGGGGCCGACCAAGGGCAAGATGGATGGATGGCATCCTTGAAGTGACTGGACTGACCTTGAGGGAGCTGGGGGTGGTAACGGCCGACAGGGAGCTCTGGCGTGGGCTGGTCCATGAGGTCACGAAGAGTCGGAGACGACTGAACGAATGAACAACAACAACAATCCAACACGTAGGCGTGGCCCACACCAAAAATGTAACAATTGAAACTTACCCAATACTTTTTGTTTGAATTTTGTAAATCTTGGAAGCCTCCCAAAGTCAGTTTTATTTTCAACACAAGGAAGCAAAGCAAAGCCAGAAAGGCTGACTTTCTTATTTAAATTAATGACCTTTCGCCATTCAGAGAGGAAAAGCAGGGAGAAAGCAGAGTCTGCTGGGAAAGAAAGCACAGAACTCTGATAAGTGTAGTTCAGGAAGGTGAGGAGCACTATGGCAGAGAATGCAAAAGGTCCTGCCCTAAACTATATTTCCCAGAATTCTGCTCGCATCAGAAAGCCCCAATCAGGACTGGAGAGAGACTTGTCTCTCCACAGCAGCAGCCAGCCAGAGTTCCAATGAATGGTTGAAAATGCAAATAGGAGGATTGACCGATACTTCTAGTAAGTAGTAATAGTAGTAATAACAACAATAATTTCATTTATTTAAATCAGTGCTGGGCTGGGAAGAAATCCCTAAATGAATGGCCTTTGGGGGGGGGTCCCTTCCAACTCAATAGGGGAAACATATTAATTATTTTAGAGGCTGGATGGCTATCTGTCACGAGAGTTTTGATGGTACTGTTCTGCATGGAAGAATGGAGTTGGCCTATATGGCCCTTGAGGGTCACCTCCAACTCTAGAATTCTATGAAATTGTAGAATTGGTTAATATTGGTTTCTATTGGTTATATGAGAGACAGTCAATGAGATAACTGTTGTGGCTTTTAAAAAAATAAATATTCATTAAAATTTTAAGAAATTCTCTAAAATCAGTAAATATATGAATATTTTTGAAAGTCGGGGGAAATGATCCCTTGTTATTTCGTGTCATTGTACAGAAATTTCAAAAAGATAGCTCTTGTAGTTTTTTTAAAAAACGTTGTTTATAAAAAGTTTAAAAAATTCCCAGAAATCCATGGATAAGTGTAATATTCTGAAATTTGATCAGCTAAAAGTGGTAAATGTGTTCTACCATTGTTGCAAGTTTCACCCAAATAGCTGTAAAAATGAGGGAGAAATGAGCCCCTGAAATTTTCCCAATTATAGTAATTATGTGTGATTACTATAACAAAAGAGTAACAAAATTTCATTACTCTCATCATAACAACAATTTTACTAATTGTACTTTAGAAATACTTTAGAAATGAAATGCCAGTACCCCCTAATTTTGTAATGACTTTTGAAACTTTTTTATTGATTGCACATGCCTAATGCCTACTAATGAAAGAAGATGAAAAGATGGAGGATTACATGTAAATGTCAGTAATTTTACAGGGCTTTGAAATGCTTTTATGCTACTCTCTTACCATTATAGGATTATGATTTGGTCAGCCAATAGTGCAAGTTCTCCTCTCGCTTTTCAGTAGTGACAGAAAAGTGTAAGTGTACATCTATTAATTAAGATGACAAAGAAAAATCTCAGGTCGTTTTTATTTGTTTATTCATTGCTTTCCAATTGCTATACATCAGTGATTCCCAACTTTTTTTTTTTGACCAGAGACCACTTGACCAGGGACCACTTTCCAACATTAGTATCAAATGGGTTACGAATTTATTTTTGTCAACTTTAGATATAGTTTGGTTATTTGGGGTGCTGATTCAGAAAATTACATCGGATAGACCACATCAGCTCTAGTTTCTGATACAGAACATATGCCATCCAGTAATCTCCAACTTCTCGCCCACAAAAAATATATTTTATAATCTAGAGCTGATGCGGTATAATCTAGAGCTGATGGGGTGGGGCTGGTAAGTGACAGGGAAGGAGCAAAAATAACATAAAAATATTTTTTTTAAAAAAAGGACCAGATTTTCATCCTTGCAGCCCACAGGTTAAGAACCACTGCTATACATGGAGCCTGCCACTATGTGATGGAGAATTTCACTTTAAATGTTTAGTGATTTAAATATTTCAACAACAACAAAACTTTATTTATATTCCTCCCCATATCACAGACTCACAGACATAAAAAGGCCAAATATTCAATGCCCTGTACTGTAATAAATAAGTAATACAATTTAAATAAAATACAATTTAAATAGTATAAAACATATAGTTATAAAAGCAATAATAATCATCCTAGATGATTAGAATTATTAGAATTAGCATTAGACATCAATGCTAATCTATGAAATTTAGGCATGGGAGAACATTTATTTTCTTAATGAGGATGTTTTGATTTTGGTGTATTATTGTAATAGGAAATCATGGGAAACCTTTGTCATACATGGCAATGTGTGTTTGTTAAGCTATAAACATGTATCAGCATTCCTCCAACATCTCAGAAGGGAAGCCATAGAGAGATTTCATAAAATGCAAATTTATTTTAATTAAATTAATGAATAAATGAGTACATTAAAAAGCAGCTGTTTTAATCAATGATAAATTCTTTAATGGGCTGTGAACTGTAAATTAAATTTATCAGTCTTCTAAGTACTTTGCAGAGCAGAGTGTCAGGTGGTGGCAGCATTTAACTGTGGGACAGATGGCATGATAATTTCTTTGCAAATTACCAGCTGTGTGTGTGTGGTGTGCTATATACATATCAGCTGCAAGACTTAATTCATTAATCAGTTAGATTGACAGTAAAAACTCTATTTGATTCCATGGAGTAACATTCCAGTCAATCTGGCAGCAGAATGTTGTTTCATGGAAAGCAAAATAAGTGATTTTTAAAATCTGCATTGGGAAATCATCGTCAAAGAAGAGGCATATCTCTTGTGAGAACAGGGATGCTTTCCTTTTAATATGTGTTGTGCTCTGGTGCACATATTCACTACCTGAAGCCAAACCACTTTTCTGCATTAGAATTAGTGTTTTTACCTATAAGTGTATTTATTATCTAGTTAACTGATTATAATTTGTTTAAATCTACACAGTCACTCAACAAGTAAACCCCCTTTATCAATATAGATATGTTTCTGGGCATTGCTTCTTTAACAAGCTCATTGCTACCAAATATGGTACTTTGGGTCAGAAAGAATTTGGAAATAATAGGGATAGGTTCCTATAAAAACCAAAACCAGAGGATCATTCACATGTAACAATATAC